CTAGACATCCAGTTGGAGGTATCACGTAGGCAGTTGTCTGGAGATCATGAAAGGACACCACACCAGAGATTTAAACGTGTGAGTCATTAGCCGAGAGATGATTTTTTAAACTGGAATTGGTTAATAATAATATAGTAGCTAACATTTTTTGAATGCTTACTCTGTACAAGACTTACCTTGTCAAGTGTTTTTGCAAATATCATTAATTCTGAAAACACTGTTATTTGTCCCTACCATATAATGAGGCAACTGAGCTTAGGAGAGGTGACTGAGGTGTGATTTTCCCTAGGTCACCCAGCTGGTAATTTGCAGAGTCTAGGAAGAACTCTGCTGAGTCCAACAGCAATGCCTTAACCGCCCTGACCTCTTTAATCAGCTTTTGAACCCTTTCTATTGCTCAATAGATTCTTCCTCTTTCATTTGCCAAATCCCTGATGACACATTTGAACAGCTGCTATAATGAAACCCAACATTGTATTCTTTTACTCTAAAAGAAATGTCATCCCAACCCAAAGGGGGAAAACCAGGCTATGAGCAAGGCTCACAGATAAATCAGTCATGGATGGTATTAGAGTTAATCCATCTTTATTAGGCCCCTTGTGTAGAAGTTTCTGTGTTGGGTCTATGTAGCCTAGAAAGACTTATGATGTGGACCTGTATTCTCAAGTTGCCTAAATTCTTGTTGTAGAAGAAAATAAATACATACATGACAGTTAAAAATGATAGACAGATGTAGATATATATGCCAAAGAGTGGCAGAGAGAAATCATTGATTTATTAAACAAAAGTTACTGAAATCCTCTGTGTGCCAGGCACTGTTGAGGGACTTGGTATATAGTATGTCAGTGATGGTGCTCAGGGCAAGCTGCCCCAGGAAGCACCACTCTGGTATGCAGATTATTTCGAGCTGAAGACAATAAAGACTCAGAGAGCTCAAGAAAAATATTTGAGTTTCCCCTCCCAAACTGCCTAAAAAATTTAAAACCAAAAAATCTGTTTTAAGAAGGGGTTATTATCATGACTGCTATAAAAGATAATTTAGGATAGAGGTTACAATAGAAAAGGCACCAACAAGCCCATCTTATCGGGAGTTCTGTCTCTCTGGCCATATTCTTTGGATGGCCCTGCGAGGAGTTGTCAGACAATCATTTACAAGAGAAGTCTCCATTTGTAAAGGTATCTCCCTCTCTGTATTAGAAAAAGGGGGGGTGAGCTCATTTCTAGTAACTTATCAATGTGGAAGGTGAGGCCTTGGGCTGCATAATAACATTACTCTTGTTTACTGTGCTTTAGTGGTAATCTCCTATAACTGACTCCCCCCACCCCCAAAATCCTCCTTTGTCATTGGCTGAAAATGATATTTAAGACAAAAATTTCTGCTATTGTGTTGAGAAACGCAGTGTCCCTGCTTTCTCCCATGTATACATGTTATTAAACTTGATATTATTTTCTCCTGCTAACCTGTCTTGTTGATTATTTGGCCAGCCAGAAGAACCTTAAGAGAAAGGGCAGAGGGAGATTCTCCCTCTTCCCCCGACATCAGGAAACAAGACAGACACATGCACACGTCTCTTTAGTCTTTTTAATCTCTGACAGCCCACTCACCCCTCCTAGGTCTTTTACATGCAGATCACACAGCTGTGTGATCTCAATTTCAGAGTGGTATTCACAGGCAAAGAGCCTGGCTGGCAAAATACAGTCAGAAACTAGGGCCAAGATTTTGTCTTCTAAAACCAAAATTATTTTTGCACTATTCTTCAGCTTTTGACTGGTATGCTCTTTTTTATTATTATTGCTCCATGAAATATGTCGAACAGTGGCATTAAAAAAAGATATGTTGAAGCCTAACTCCTGGAACCTGTGAATGTGACCTTATTTGGAAAAAAAAGATCCTTGCAGATGTCATTAAGTTAAGGAAGTCGAAATGAGGTCAGCCTGGATTAACTGGGTGGGGCCTAAATCCAATGACAACTGTCCTTATAAGAGACAGAAGAGGAGAAGACACAGACGGAAGAGGAGAAGTTCCATGTGAAGACAGAAGCAGAAATTGGAGTGATACAGCCATAAGCCAAGGAATACCAGGAGCCACCAGAAACTGGGAGAGGCAAAGAAGGATCCTCCTCTACAGCCTTCAGAGGGACCGTGGCCCTGTGGACTTGTGGCCTCCAGAATAGAGAATAAATTTCTGTTCTCTTCCTAAACCACCAAGTTTATGGTAATTTGTTAATGGCAGCCCCAGGACACTAATACATTCCATTTTTAAAAATAGACTTTATTTTTTAGAACAGTTTATGATTTCTAGAAAAATTAAGAAGCTAGTACATAGAATTCCCATATACTCTGTACTCAGTTTTCCCTATTATTAGAATTTTACATTAGTATGGTACATTTGCTACAATTAAATGAACCAATATTGATACGTTACTATTAACTAAAGTCCGTAGTTGATTCAGATTCCCCTAGTTTTTGCCTAACATCCCTGTTCTAATCCAAGATCTCATCCAGAATACCACACTACACTTAGTCCTATCTCCTTAGGCTTTTGCATGCTTTTTGGTCCAGCAATTCAACACCCAAGAATTTACTGTAAGGTAGTAATCATAGTTCTGTGTAAAAATTGAGCCACAATGATGTTTACTGAGGCATTGCTTAAAAATTATTGAAGAGCCAAAGACCTTTTGCTTATGTGGGTTATATCTATCCGTATTTGCCATAGTAGAAAGTAAAACTGAGAAGGGGCCAGCCCAGTGGCGCAAGCGGTTAAGCGCGCACGCTCTGCTTCGGCGGCCCGGGGTTCACAGGCCCAGATCCCGGGCGCTCACCAACACACCGCTTGTTAAGCCATGCTGTGGTGGCGTCCCATATAAAGTGGAGGAAGATGGGCATGGATGTTAGCTCAGGGCCAATCTTTCTCAAGAAAAAGGGGAGGATTGGCATCAGATGTTAGCTCAGGGCTAGTCCTGCTCACAAAAAAAAAAAAAAAATGTTAAATATTTATTAATTCATTAAAAAAAATAATATGCCCATTACATGTTACTACATCTTTATGAAAAATAACTATATTTTCCAAAATGACAAAAAAAAATTGGTGAGAAGAATGGCATTGTTTTACATTTTTGCAAATGTTTAAATGTTGAAATAAGATAAATAGAAGAAAGCTGGGTTCTCATATATGTATTCAATCCATTACAAAACACATGTCTGTAGCCTCTGGAAAACTCCACTGTTCACCTGTGAGAGAATGAGAGGGAGAAAGGCAACAACATCTTAGAATTATTATGAAAATAGGTTCGACTTCATGGACCCCCTGAAAGGGTCACAGGGAGTCTTAGGGTCATACTTTGAGAAATTCTGGCTTAAAACAACAAAAAGTTTGAAACAACATAAAAATATCAAATAATAAAGAATATCATTAAATATTCATGCTCAATCTATGGTATTATGAGATCTTCCACACTATTATACTAGAACCTACAGAATTCTTGTTAACTGAATTGAAACCTTTTTTTTGTCCTCTTACTCTCTTGTTATGCTAGCAGAGGTACTCCTGTCACCGACCAGAAGTATCCCTGTCACGGATTAGTGCCCCAAGAAACTCAAGGGTGGGTTTGGAAGCATTTATCTGTTTTTCCAAGTTGTTTTTTTATGTTAAGGAGACACAACCAGCAGCCACCCTGAAGCTAACCAAGCCTCCCTACAAGAGCTATGCCCAGGACCTTGCCTTATTTTAAAGATTTTATTTATTCAGTTTTTTCCCCCCAAAGCCCCAGTAGATAGTTGTATGTCATAGGTTCACATCCTTCTAGTTGCTGTACGTGGGACTCGGCCTCGCGTTGGACGGAGAAGTGGTGCCTCGGGGCGCTCCCGGGATCCGAACCCCGGCCGCCAGCATCAGAGCGCGCGCACTTAACCGCTAAGCCACGGAGCCGGCCCGGACCTTGCCTTATTTTAATAGACGATCTCTTCAGGAGAAGATTAAGCCTCATTACCGTAATCTTCAGTGTATGCAGAAGCATGTTTTCCAACTGAGCCTGCACAAGGAATACCCACCTCTCCCTTTTGAATATTCGTTCCCCAACTGAAATACATTCCTTCTTCCCTTTGTTCAAGGACACCATGACCTTGGAAATGATTCCTCATGGCCTCCTATTTGTTGCAAATACACTTTACTTTATGACACAACTTCCACTGGTGTAGAGTCTTGTTTAACTCACCAGGAGGCAAGCCCACTTGGTTCCGTATCACCCCTCCTTCTTCTAAGAATAATCCTTTGTTTCTGCGTTTTCCCTCCAGCTTGGTGAGTGTTTTTTCCCTTTCACTTCATCCAACACTCCCCTCTGCAGGGTCCTTCCGGTAACACTTAACCCTGCTCAAGACTTTCTCATATTAAAAAAAAAAAGTTTCACCTCTTTCCATCTACCTCTCTCTTTCTCCTTCCTCTTTTTATTACAGCCATATTTCCTTTTTTTTTCTTCCCTTCTTTCTAAAGTAATAAGGTAAAAATAAAAAATCACAATTATATGCAATATACAAAGTGAAAGTACTACATGATCCCTAAACTCCACTAAAATAATCACAACTCACAGTCTGGTGTTAGGTTTCCACATTTTGTTTTTCCATAAACTAATTGCACATACTGTTCTAGAACTTGCTTCTTAAACATTTATATGTTAGTACATTTAAATTTCCATCGTTATTTTTTTATTTATTTTTTTATTTTTTTAAGATTTTATTTATTCATTTTTTCCCCCCAAAGCCCCAGTAGATAGTTGTATGTCGTAGGTTCACATCCTTCTAGTTGCTGTACGTGGGACTCGGCCCCGGGTTGGACGGAGAAGTGGTGCCTTGGGGCATGCCCGGGATCCGAACCCGGGCCGCCAGCATCAGAGCGCGCGCACCTAACCGCTAAGCCACGGAGCCGGCCCTCCATCGTTATTTTAAACCACTATATATTCCATAGTATAGCTGTACCAATATTTATCCTATTTCCTATTGAACATTTTGATTTTTCCAGCTTTCTGCTATTAGAAACCATGTGAAATGGTACATATACTTTTGCACACTTTTTAAGTATTATGGCACATGTCTAGAAATTGAACTACTTGGATCAAAGAGTACAAACATTTTAAGTGTTAGTGAATAATGGCAAAGTCCCTCCTAAGAGTTTGTACCTATTGACACTCCCACCAATAGCTTAACTTAATTATGGCCGGACATCTTGAAGCAGCTGTCTATAGCAATTCTCACTCTTGCACCTCTCTGGTTACTCTCTAGTCCCTCCTCAGCCCGTTTAATCTGGCTTCTGTCTGAACCACTCTCTTGACATTTGCTCTTGCCAAAAATGACTAAATCTAGGGGAAGTTTTCCTTCTATTTGATGTGGCTGACCACTCTCTCACTTTTTCTCCTTTTCCGATGGTTCTCTTCCCTTTTGTGACACCACACATCCTTATTTTTTTCTCCTATGTTTGCTCCTTTCTTGGTCAAGCATCTTACACCAGGTTCAGTCTGGGTCTTCTTATCTTCTTATTCTATACCCTTTCTCTGATCTACCTCATTCTCCTCTATGGTCTTAATTGACATGTAGACATCAATGACTCCCAAAGTCAGCCCTCTCTCCTGAACTCCAGATTGACTTCATACTAAACCTACCCACTTGAATGTTCCACAGGAAACTCCATGTTCCAAACTGAATGGGAGGAAGACTATCCTCTACTCACTCTGGGTCTTTTCTGGCTGGGCTACGAGTTAAATTGACATGAGACCAAATAGCAGGAGAAAATCAAACAAAGCTTTATAACACGTATACATGGGAGAGACCAGTGAAACTGAGTTTCTTGACCAATGGCAGAGGTTTTCACCTTAAATAGTATATTCAGGTAGACAAAAGAGGATGTTGGGGGTAGGGAGATTCAGCTATGGGAGATTACCAGAAATCACAGTAAACAAGAGTAATGTTATTATGCAGATTTAAGTCCTTGCCTTCCACGCTGATAAGAGTTTCTAGAGGGGCCAGCCCCGTGGCTTAGCGGTTAAGTGCACATGCTTCGCTACTGGAAGCCCAAGTTCAGATCCCAGGCGCGCACCGACGCACCGCTTGTCTGGCCATGCTGAGGTGGCATCCCACGTACAGCAACTAGAAGGATGTGCAACTATGACATACAAGTATCTATTGGGGCTTTGGGGAGAAAAAGTGGGAAAAAAGGAGGAGGATTAGCAATAGATGTTAGCTCAGGGCCGGTCTTCCTCAGCAAAAAGAGGAGGATTGGCATGGATGTTAGCTCAGGGCTGATCTTCCTCACAAAAA